CGCCCTCGTCAACTATCACGCGATAGAAATCTCGAGCTCATGATCTAATTGTTTGATAGAAACAGATTTTTAACTAATCAGCGCGCGCATTTTCTTATAGCCTGTAGCGGGCTCTAGCGCGATACATGAACGCGCGCAAAGCGCTTCGCGCGCTAATCCGCCTGCACTGCAGGCTAATTTTATTAGGGCTGTTTTCTAATGTTATACAGACATCGAAAGATTTGGAACATGCGTGCGCTGCTCCAACAGCGCAGTAAAGTATATCGTCGGTGAAAAGACTCCGGCTGGAAGGGCCGAGAAGGAACGGCCGAGAAAGAAGTGGCCGGGAGGGATGGGGTGGGGGTTGGGGCGTCTCCCCTCCTCTCTCATCTATCCTCTTTCTTCCCGCTTTCTCTTGACCCTAACCCGACTAGAGAACCTGTTCACGGGCTATACAGTATATAAAGGTTGCTCCGATTAGCATTTGTAGAGAAGGTTGCACTTGTTTTGGTCGATGGCCATTTTGATTTTTGTATATCAAGATAGCGTTACCCAACGGAACGTAACTTTATCTCCAGAAATTGACGTATGACCAAATATTTCTTATAACAGTGTAACAAAGTCCATGTGGATAGAAACGACAGGAGCTAAATAGCGTGAATGAGAAATACAAACCGCTTTCCGTAAAATTAATAAGAGTATTACTTCTTCCAAGATAAGCATCAAAAACAACAACAACAACAAAATTTACCGATAAGAAAAACAAGGTCAGTGTTTTTAAAAATACGCTCTCCTTGAATTTTTTGTTTGTCATCCAAGGCTCCTTTTTAGAAAAGCGTTACATGGTCACCCACCTAGCTGAAGGAGTGCTGTTTTTCTCTTTTGGGTCTGCCTGGTTCACGTTCTATACAATACAGACAGTTAAGGGGGTATGGTACCCTAAAATATGGCAATGTTCATGAAAAATTCAATTTCTTGGAAATACAAGACTTAAGACCCTTGAGGACTTGTCAAAAACATTTTGAAACGATCTTGCCGAATTTCCCTCCAGATGAGTGTGAAATTTAAGGAAAGTACACAGTGGTATAAGTTTTTTCACTTTGCAACGGCCATAGCAACGACTGTTTACTATAAGAACGTGACCAAAAATATAGATTATTTTTAACTTATGTGAACGAAACTATTGAGAAAAAACTTTTAAGACATGCACAACTCGATTGGTATAATTATTTGTGAAAAGCTTTGCCTCAAATTGCTCTTCAACTGCATCTCCTGGATTACTTTCCAAAAACTACGCTCAGATCGCACAGCACTTTGGTTTGCCATTTCCAAAGCTTCCAAATATTTCTTTCGCGAACGTCGGCAAGCAGTGCAAAGAAACGGTGGAGAAGCTGAGTACTTCTAAACTTGCCTATCCTTGTGAGTATTTTCTGGTGTATATTTTGTTCATGCACGAAATTATTTTAAGAATTGCTTTAATTGATTTGAGACCCATCCATGCCACGAAGTGAATTTTCACACACTCTAAACACCAAACAAAAACGTGCAGTCTGCTGTTAGCTAACATCTGACTTGCGAACGAGATCAAGGTGTTATTTTGTTTCAAACTGAAAAAGGAAAAAAGGTTGATGGTACAGTACATAAATTCCTAGAAGAAAGAGCTTTTGATTTTGTGGAATAATTTTTTTCAAATTTACAGCGTACGAATTTTCCTGTTTCACAATGAAGTGTAACATTTTGCTGAATCATGCAGATGCAAGCGATAAAAATAGCATTGTGTGTGTGTGATGTGTGTGTCATTGAAATCTGGCAAATCTATGGAGGGACTTTCTGTGCACTGTCTGGATTTGACACTAATAATAATAATAATTCTCTAAGATCAAACTCTAATGAAAGTAGTGGAGTTTGAAGACATCAATATGGAAGTACATTTTTTGTTGCTGGGTAGAAGATAGTTTCAGGAGCAGATTTAGGGGGCCTGGATTGGGCTTTAGAGAAGCATAAAAAAATTGAAAAAGTTTTTGAATATTATGGCAGAAATAAAGGGAAGTTCTCTGGAAAGGTACACCTTTGTGATTTCTACTTTGTCGCAAAGTAAGAGTTGGAGGGGGGGGGGAGGCTACTCTTTATAATGGTCTATACGGGGAAGTTCTGCCAGAAAGGGGTACCTTTTTTGAGGCTTCAGGTAGGGTAGGGATTTCACAAGTTGAGGTATATGAAAAGGTAGGGAAATCTGTCATTAAGTTATTTAAAAGGGCCTTTAACCTTTTCAGGACCTAAAGGTTGCCCAAAAAATGCTGTTTGTAACCATTAAATCAGGTTTTTGGCTGCCAAGACGCTAAATGGGCCTTGGTTTTGCTGAAAAAGCTATTTTTTGGCCAAACAGATAGAAAATGTAGAATTTTTTAATTTGGTGCTTGCAGAAGCCAAAATTTGGACTTTTTTTGTGATTGCCCATTCCAAATTTTTTTATTATCCTTTTCCGTTCATTTTTCTCAGCCCTTTTACTCAAGAATTTTTTCATTTCTAATCATTTTAAATTATCTTGTCTTATTTTGTGATTGATACTTGTCTTACAAGTATCAATTACAATACTTGTCTTACATGCCATATAGTAGACAAGAAAGGTGTATCATGGCACTCAACTTTGGACAGTTCCGCTATCAACAAGAGGAAACCACTCCCTCATGCTTACTTGCCATTGAATGACAGCAAGCATGGGGTGTTAGCCTGAGCAATAACAAACTTTTGCAACTCTGATGCAAAAGTTCTATTGGACCAGCAATATACCAAACGGATTGGTTGACCTCAGTAACTGTCCCTATGAACTAACTAAGGCCAGTAGTAATGATATGTAATTTTTATGTCTAACTTATAAGCATTATATGGAAGTCTGTGCCTCATAGATTACAATTTTATTGATTATTTTTATTCTACAGATTTAGATGCTATTGGTAAACCTCAAAGCGGACTTTTTGTTGGGAATCTTGGTTGGTTAGGATCCTACAGTGAGTGCACTAAGTCTATTGTAAATGCTCATTATTGCCTGGCTTTTGTCGCAGTTCCTACCTTTAATATCACTGAGGTGAGTCATGGTATATAGACTGCTTGTCACCTCATGCCACTAATTGAATTAAATGACTACTCTCTGTGTGTTTGAGGATTTTTATAGTTGGTTATTCATTGTGCACTATTAGTGCAAAATAACGTTTACAAGTTGAGGCCTTGTGCATCCCATGATGCAAGTATAAGAACTGATAATAATAATGATGATGATTTACAAGTTGTGCGCTTTTTGTATAACTTCATGATCTTAATGTCATCTGAACTTGGTATGTAGCTCTTTATATTGCTCTTTATGGACACCTTCTTTAGACAACAACAAATGATATCCAGAATGTAAAATAAGATGTTACCAATCAGTTGAACTGTATGTTGGGAGTTTAATATCATTATGTAAAATGGGTTCTTGAGAACCAGTGAGAAACTGCTCTTTCGTCGTTGATACAATAGGATTAAGGTGATAGTGTTTCAGTGTTTTAAGCTAGAGCCAGGCCACACATTTATTAACCGTGCGGCCATGGGCCGAGCGCGGTTCTAGGTTTACCCGTGGTTTATTATTTTTTTTATTTTTTTTTTTGTCGGTGACCAGACGCAGACCTCCGCTCGGCCAAACTTTGAGTCACGCAACGTGTGATGTTTTTCCGCCAGAACCTGTTAAAACATAAACACACGGACAATTTTAC